GTTTCTCTTAAATCACTTGCAGTGCTTATATATACACTGCTACGCTTTTATTCTCTTCTCTTTTTAGACTATAATATTCTTTCACGAATTTCAAGATTGAGAAGGTGTCATAAAGCATGCATACAATAGATAATTATCCTCTCTCCCATTCATCTTCCCATAGGCAACCACATCACTTTCTCTTCTTCCAGGGCTGTCAAATATATTATATGTGAGTCTTTCATATAAAAAAGAGCAGAGGGGAGAGAGGAGTTGGGGGGGTAGAGAGGAAAGGGATGGTAGGGGAAATATAAAGGAGGGTATAACAATGTGCGATAGGAAATGGACTTATTACCTTGCTCATGCAACTGTAACCCCTTTGTACAGTATCTTTACAATAAAAAAAATATTAAAGAGCAATAATTGCTCAGAGGCTGGTGACTCACACCTGTAATCCTAGCTACTGAGGAGGCTGAGATCTGAGGATCGCAGTTTAAAGCCAGGCTGGGCAAGAAAGTCCTTGAGACTCTTTATCTCCAATAAACTACTCCGAAATGGCCCTAAGTGGAGCTGTGGCTCAGTGGCAGAGCACTGGCCTTGAGAGGAAAATCTCAGGAACAGCACCTAGGCCCTGAGTTCAAGCCCCATGCGGGGACAAATCTAGTGGAAGACTTCCAGACAATGTATTGCCTAATTGTATTATAAGTTAGCTTCATTTGCAGCCTATTGGCTTTCTGTTTGTGAGGAAGGATGGAGAAGGAGAAGGGACCATCTTTTTTAGAGTAATGTGCTGATAGATTTTGGTAGAGTCATTTGAAAACAAGTCTGCATTCTGGTTTTAGTTCTGCCCATGAAATAACCATAAATAAATCACTTGAGTTCTTTGCATTTAGAGCTGAGTGGGGTGGCACATGTATATAATCCCAACATTTGAGTAGTACAGGCAAGAATATTATAAGTTTGAGGTCAGGTTAGGGCTATATAGCAAGACCATCAAATTATTTATCTTCTCCTATTAAATATAGATAATGGGTCAATTCCGTGTTCCTCAAAGTGGATTTCATAAAGCAGTCACCTGTTCTGTACCTGTTTGTAGGGCTGTGGGAAGGCCATGGCCAGGATATCTTTGAGGATCTCCTGTAAGTGCTATGAAAGAAGAGAATGAAGATAGCAAAGGATACCCCTGTCTCCAGTTGGTTTTCCCTCCTGTTCCCCTGCAGAACAGTAAACAGCTGCCTGTTTGTAGTCAAATAGATTTGGGAAGTACCCGGTTTAAACAAGTTCTGTTTAGTCCGATGTGACAGTCCTTTTTTTTGTTTTTTGTTTTTTTTTTTGGTTGGTCGAGGGACAGCCGGGGCGCTGTCCCTCAGCTCTTCAGCTCAAAGCTAGCACTCTCCCACTTGAGCCACAGCACCACTTCTGGCTTTTTTTTTTCTTCTGATTATGTGGTGCTGAGGAATCGAACCCAGGGCCTCATGCATGCAAGGCAAGCACTCTACCACTGAGCCACCTTCCCAGCCCAGTGACAGAGTTTTAATCTGCCCAAATATTGTACTTTGAATCACCAAGAAAATAAAGCACTGTATGGCATCTCGTAACATCTTCTTTGTAGAACTAATATTCCTTTGAATATAGACTGGGAACTGTTAAAGCTATATTATCTCTGGTCTTGTTCTGCGATTGTTTTCTTGTGTCTTATTCTGAAACTTTTTCTCCCTCTAATAAAAAGTCCTCACTAGCACTACATCATCTCAAAATTGCTGTCTGTGGATACCCAGGGCTCTTTATTTGGCGGGGAGCATACAAGAACACATTCTCTCTCTGAATTGCACAGACCTGCACACTATCTAGGAACTTTGCTTTTAAAATGTAATTGTATGAAAATACAGTGGGGCACCAGTGACCTATAATAGCTACTCTGAAGGCTGAGACCTGAGGATCACCATTCAAAGCCAGCTTGGACAGGAAGGACTCTTATCTCCAAGTAACCATTGAAAAGCCAGAAGTGGAGCTTTTATGCAAGTGACAAAGCATCACCTTGAGCAAAAAAGTTAAGAAACAACATCCAGGCCCTCAGTTCAAGCCCCAATATCAGAACAAAACGAAAAGAAAGAAAGAAAACACGTTACACTCAGATTTGCAGTGACCATACTTGATGTTCAAATCATGTATTTGTTGATAAACATATATGTATAAATAGCAGGTTTAACTATTATTAGCTTGGAGTTAATTGAAAAGCATTTGTGTTGTTTTCTCCAACTTGTTGTGAATATTAGGTGGTGGGGAGACTTATTTCCACCTAGACTCCTTTCTTCTTGCCTCTTGAATCACAGACTACAGACAGGGATATGAAGACAGAATCAGTTCACAGCCAGCCACACAACCACCAGCACAGCATCTTGTTCCTTTGCCTCAATGATTCTATCTGAGAGCTAACAGTTGGAAGAGATTTGCTAACACAAATAATATGAACAGCACTATGAAATAGTAAATATTATTTAGTAAAATACTAACAGGCCAATGGGTTTGAAAAGTGAACCACTGACCCTATAAAAAGGATTCTGATGTGACTGTTACAAGAATATAGAAAAGAGAGCCAGTCCACGTCATTTTTTTTTAAAGATCTCCTTTGTCTGCACCTGACTCGTGAACTGAGTTGTTCTTCACATCAGAGACAGCACTCAGGCATTTCATGTTTTTCATGATTCAATTGGCAAGAAGTAGGACAGTAGCTCTTAGCTCTTAGTTGGAACTTATTTCACACTCACATATAGCTCATGTAATATTTATATTAATGAAAAAGAGTCCTGTAAATTTCATCACCTAAGAATATCATTGGCTTCCTTCCCTTAGTAACTGAGAAAAAAAATTATAATGGCTTTTTAATAAAAATTAAGTTTAAGAGTGAAACCTTTGGAAGTAGCACTGTGGCTCAAGTGGTAGAGCACTCACCTTGAGCTGAAGAGCACAGGGACAGCGCTCAAGCCCACAGTTCAAGCCCCACGACCGACCAAAAAAAAAATAGTAAAAATAAAAAAAAGAGTGAAACCTTTATGCCAGAATGGAGACTAAAGGGTCATTTCGAATTTTTTAAATATAAATGATCTGTTTTGAAAAAAAAAAGAGTATATCATGCCATATTTTGAATTCTTTCAAAAAAATTCCTCCACAGGTCTTAGTGGTTGGTTAATTCTAAAAAAATTAGGGCATGTGTTCAGCCTTATTTCCAAAAATGGCTAGACATGGCAAGGACTTGTTCACGGGGCCAGGCAGCAGCATTGAGGGCGGGCTCCACATGCTCACTGCTAGTTAATAACTTGCAAGGAGGCCTTTGCCTTATTGAAACAAGCTCTGTTTTTGTTTTCTGTCATTTCAGTTTATGAATACTGCTGTCAGTAGCTGCTTTCCATTTGTCTCCCAGCTTTTACTGTCTCTGTAAAAGATTCTTTTTGCTTTGGGGCTTAAGTACCACCTGAAGAGAGAAGCCTTTTAAGGCGCGGGAGACTGGCCAGTGCCCTTTGTCCTGTTCACCTACTAAAAGGTAGCATTGTTAACCTAATTCAGCAGGGCCCTGAGTCAGTGTAAACACTGCTCCACAGACCCAGAAAGACTAATTGAATTGTACAATACATCATTTTTTTTTAGCAACCATTTTAAGTGAATTGTACTTCATTTCCTAGAACACCTTTTTTTCTTCATTGAAGATAATTTAAATACAACAAATATTTAAACATGATAAATAAAATATTTAACTCAATTCTGTCTTTGCACACTGAACTATGAGGTACCTGAGGAGCCCTAATGCCTGGTACAATATCTAGCTTGTACCTATGCCTGTATGCCTCAACCCTTTGTACACTTCCTTAATAATAACAATTAAAAAATTAAAGGACGCCTTTTTTACATTCCTATAAGAAATATAAACTTTGATATGCATTATATGATGTAAGAAGATGATAATATTGAATTTTATGTGTGTGTATAAAAAATGGGTGTTTGTAATCAGTGTGCAGTAGCCATGTATCTAATACTGTCATGAATGTATGGAAAATTTTCATGGTTGTGCAGCCTTTTGTACTCCTCTCTCTCTTACCTACCTACAAGGGAATTTCTGCCTATCTCTCTAGACCCAGATCCATCATCACCTCATTTGCCAGGTTGTCCCTGCTTAGGAAAGCCTGTTTCTCCTTCCTTTAAGCTACCAATGAGTCTCATCTGTCACTGTGTAGCAGCTGACAAGCTGATGGAATTTTCTTAAAAAAATTTTTGTAATAGGGCGAGGAAGGTGGCTCAGTGGTAGAGCGCTTGCCTTGCATGCATGAGGCTCTGGGTTTGATTCCTCAGCACCACATAAGCAGGGGGAAAAAAGCCAGAAGTGAAGCTGTAGCTCAAGTGGTAGAGTGCTAGTCTTGAGCTGAAGAGCTGAGGGACAGGGCTCAGGCCCCACAACCAACCAAAAAAAAACAAAAACAAAAACAAAACTAAACAATGATGTAGTGAGTCCTTGAGGGTAGGAGCTATATCTTCTTTTTCTTCTTTCATAAGCACTTAGTCTAGAGTGTGAAACATATGAGTTTTCAGTTTTCTATTTTTTTTCTTTTTCTTTTTTCTTTCTTTTTGTCAGTCATAGGGCTTGAACTCTGGGCCTGAACACTGTCCCTGAGCTCTCCGGGGATGGTTACGTATATAACTAGGTAAAATATTTTTTTTTAAAACCCATAAAATTGACATTGGTGTTATGGGTTAGTATTGTTTGGTGTTGTTCTGTCACATACATGGGTTCATACAATCACTACCATGATCCAGATACACAGTTAGTGAATTCCTTCCAAGTTTGTCCATCTGAGTTTCTGGAAAAGACAAAGGAAAGCTAATATTTATATTTAGTTCAGCTATGGCTCTTTCATTTAGGTGTGTTCAGAAAATAATGTTACTTTGTTATTAAGCTGTGGTTCCTAGTTTGAACAGGTGTAGAAAGCTGGATGGTTCACCAGAAATGATTGCCAAGGCCTGTTTTGCAGGTGTCCAAGCAGGCCAAAGAGTTTCTGGAGTACGTGTATGAAGAGCCACTAATCGACATCCAACAAGAGAACCCCATGCTGTACCTCCATGCCGAGCCTTTGGCTGCAGTGGTGCGGCTCCGGCAGCGGCTGAAATCACTCCGAGCCTATTTGTTCAGCTGCCGGGCAGCAGTGGCAGAGGATCTGCGCCGCAGGTGAGAAAGACTTATAAATGTCAGAGGCTTCCAATTTATTTTTCCTTCCTGCTCTGGGAGGGTGGTTAGATGATCTCCAAGTCAGGCCTCTATAATTCTGGGATCTCCCTCCACCTCCACCACTGCCTCCCTCTGGACCCCCTCTTTAACTTTCTCCTCCAAAAGCCGCAATTTGGTTGAGCCAAGCAAAATGAAAATAATCTCTCAGTACAACTTACGGCTTTCAACCTAGAGATGGAGTGCAGAGGATATGAAAGCCATCTCTTTGCAACATGTTAATTTGAGATCATAATCCTGGGGATGTCTTTGTTGTTCACTTATGTAGTGTTTTATACTTTCTTGCTTCAATGTTCATTTATCACCAGTACAGAGAGTCTTTGAAATATATTACATAGCTTAAAATGCATCTTCAATGGGAAACAAACCTTCCTGCCCACTCAGAAACATGTAGCCAACTTGGTAAATGCTCTGGAATGAAAATGTGCTGGCCACAATTCTGCCCTCACCTTACAGTGGCTGTGGTACAGCCTGCTCTTCCCCAAGTAAATCAGCTCTGAGTTCATAGAAAACACAAGTCCAAACCAGGTTCAGATCCATAAAATAAAGCTGAAGTTCAACTGTGCTTGCTCTCATAAAATTCCTTCTTTTATGGTTAGATTTTATGAGCATTTAAATTCTCACCCTTGGCATATACAAACTAGCTTATACTTGAAATAATTGTTGATAGTGTGCATAAGTCCCTAAAAATACCTTTTGATTTTCTTTAATCCATTTTAATAGTAAAGATCAGCAGCATGCATTAGCCATGTTAAATGGATTTTTGGAAGTAAGCCTACCTGCATAGGAACCTTTTGGAAAGCATTAAAATGATAGAGTTTGCAATTTGAGATCTAATTAGATCCAAAGAAACTGACATAACCCCAGGCATCTGAAGACGGCATTTTTAAAGAACTAAATGTAGATAGTGAAGGAAGTATAATATCTAGACAAGGTCTCATAAAATAATCATGAAAAGGCAGCTTCCACAGAGTAAAATATTTCTCAGTGGTAGTCATTCTATTATCAATTTGTTTTTCAGAAAGCATCAGAAAGTGGCCAGGATTTATTCTTATAAAATCTAGGCAGATTTTAATTGTAAAAGTTCTAGGCTTACTGATTTTTTTTTGGTGAGAGAATTTTTTTAAGGTGAAAGAATTATTATTTCTCAAACTAATTTGCCAGCTAAATTAGGTACAAGATTTTTAGTTCAGAGTATGTTTGTTCTGTTATTTTCAGCACATTTTGGCTTTGCTCAGAGTTTGTTTTTCTTGTGCCTATACTTGTAAATGATATGGAACGCTACACATTGGAATCATATCAGATACCTTTCTGGTATAATGTTTTGCTTTGGTTAAAATATGCTAAATCAGGGTACACATTTAGAAATTAAATAGAAGGTCCTTTTCTCGTATGGATGAGTAAGAATCCCTACTCTCTTCCAACAGTCTGGTGGTTTACCACCCTATATTATGCCTTATGGCTAGACCACCAGGAAAGACATGGAAGTTTCAGAAAAAAGACACTCCCAAAGCTACAAGAACAGACACAATCATTTTTTCTTTTTCCTTCATTTTTCATCCTAGACTTGTTCGTGACCATTATATAAAGTAATACCTAGCATAAAGTATTGGATGGATAGTTGGAGAGAGGCAGGGAAATAAAGGAGAGAGAAAGATGTTGAGTATCACTGGAAATATGACTAGTAGCATTCTTGCCTGACTTGAGGAAGAAGACATCTTCAGTTTCTTCTTGTTGTGACTGCCCTATTTGTCACCCTCCAGAATAGTTTTGAATAAGCAAATGAAAGAAATAAGGATCAAATTGATTAAAAAGATGTGATCCATTCTGTTTCCGAAATAACTCTTAAATCATCTCCCATGTAGTATCCTTCTAAGTAATCTCATCTGATGCTACTTTTACTTCTCTGATCTAACCTGTACATCAAATAAATGATTGAAGTACAAAAACGGAATTCAAAAGTCTGCCTAAATATAGCCCAGTATGTTGACTCACTCTTTCAAAACTCTGTACTTCAAGTAAAAACTATTGTTCAGCTCTTACTGTAGTGCATTCTGTTGTGACAATTAAATGGATTTATATAGCCAAGGTATTTAAAATATTGCTTTACATAGTTAGCACTCAGTAAATACTACTACTCTCAATACTACTTATCCTAAACTGTACTTACAGCTCACTTCAAAAATCCTTGATAGGGGGCTGGGAAGGTGGCTCAATGGTAGAGCGCTTGCCTTGCATGCCTGAGGCCCTGTGTTTGATTCCTCAGCACCACATAAGCAAAAAGAAAAAAAAGTCAGAGTGGTGCTGTGGCTCAAGTGGTAGAGCGCTAGCCTTGAGCTGAAGAGCTGAGGGACAGTGCCCAGGCCCAGAGTTCAGGCCCCCAACCAGACCCCCCCCAAAAAAAAATCCTTGATAGGGGCTGGGAAGGTGGCTCAGTAGTAGAGCACTTGCCTTGCATGCATGAGGCCCTGGGCTCGATTCCTCAGCACCACATAAGCAAAAAGAAAAAACCCGGAAGTGGTGCTGTGGCTCAAGTGGTAGAGCGCTAGCTTTGAGCTGAAGAGCTGAGGGACAGTGCCCAGACCCAGATTTCAGGCCCTACGACAGGACCCCCCCCCAAAAAAAAAATCTTTGATAATATCTGATAAAATGTTCTAACTCAGCATGATGGCTCATACTTGTATTGTCTATACTCAGGAGGCAGAGGCAGGAGGATCGTGAGTTGGAGGCCAGCCCAGGCTATATAACAAGACCCTGTCTCAAAAAAATGCCACTTAAATATTGCAATATCTATGCGACCGTTTGCTTTAATAAATAATAATCTTTTAAAGAATTTTCCACTATCCTCTGATGTCCTCTCTCCTGGAATTAGTTCTGTTCTCCAGCTACTGTGGCGGGAGAACAGTGAGCAAAGGAGTTGGGGTGGGGGAGTCGCTGGGATGCAGTTGCTATATAATGTATATCTATGTGATTGTTTTATACAATGGATTGAGCCATCTCCCAGTGAGAGGCTAATTTCTATAGAACCTTAAAGGAGGCACATTGAGGTGTTTGGTCATTTGTTTGCTTTTAATTTTTGTGTCTTAGGTTCCCTATACTTAGAGACTGTTAATATATACTGGGGACTGGGAATAATGGCACATGCCTTTAATTCTAGTGCTTACGAGGCTCAAGTTGTGAGTTCAAAGATAGCCTAGGCTACATAGTTAGACCTATCTCAACCCTCCTCCTACCCTCAACCCCCCCCCAAAGGAATGTTTGGAATTAATTTATTTTCCAATGTACTAGTAATAAATTGCAGTCCTAAAGCCTTCTTTTTGTATGGGAGGTCAAATCTTTTTGACCTATGTTGAAATAAGCCTATTTAGTGGAATAATTAAAATATTTTTCTGAGGTGACAATACTTCCTGTAGCAGTCTATAGTTACTATCAACTCTGTCTTCTTCTGTATCTGTAGATGGTGACACACACAAAGGGAATTATTAACAGAGGCCATCTCATACCTGTTTCTTTCACTTCTGTATGGAAGAGGATCTTTAAAAGCGAAAAGAGCCAAAAATACCTTTAGAGATGAGAAGCTATCCAGTCCATATATAAAATTCCCTTTTGTTTCATCTTAGCAGGTAGCACCTAAAGTTGGGGAAGTAAGCCGTGTTCCTTATAGAGACTGAAGGAGGAGTTGATGGCCTGTGGGGGAACAGGAAAAAAAAAAAAAAGGCAAGAGAATTCAGTTCTTATCTAGTCGTAAAAGGCATTCTCTCCCTGCCTGGGTTTTGCCTCAGTATAAAAGTAGCCATTAATCTCTAGCAAGTAGGCCCAACATGCTGAAGCCCTGTCAGCACCATATAAACAGAATAAAGCAAACTGTTAATATTGCTGTCGCAAGAAAACTAAAAACAGACTGATTAATTGTATTGGCACTCGACTGCCAGGGAGCCAACTTTGGTCGTCACCTTATTAGGGAAGTCACAGGTTGCTTTTAGGCCTTTCATTATTACTATGACTGTCCAGTTTTCATCCTCCACTGTTTTTGTTATTATTGTTAAGTGGACGCCTTGTTCTTGAACCCATACTGCAAAACCTTGACTGGCAGGGGTGATTAGTTTAGAAAAAGTCAGTGTCCTCCATGAAGCCTAAAATGTTTACAGTGCTGACAGCTCACTGTTCCTGAGGACTCCCAGATGGTGACCCTGCCGAATTAGTTCAAGGCCTAGTTAACTTTTCATGAGAAGAATTATTTACCACATCCACACTTGAGGGTGCATGGAGAACTCTGGGAAATCTTGGCATTCTTGGCAGTGTCAAGCAAGACACATCCGGATCAGCAGCCATGAGGGAGGTGCTAAGAGTTGTTGGTAAGAGTTGCTCTATGCTCAGCATAAATAAGAGGTTGTGTATTTTCCTCAAGGCCAAATCTGGCTGATGGACATGTTTGTTTGGCCTTGTGGGCCTGGCCCCTACCAAGCTTAGAGATGATGAAATAGTTGCCAACATTTAAACAACCATGAGCTTTTATGCACACACAAAACAAAGCCTTCTGTTTTCTCTGGAGAAATGGGAAGCTTGGATTACCCAGGGCTTCCCTCATTCTGGAGCCGCCATTAGCCTTAAATATGGAGACTCACCGCTTTGTTATAACCTCTACTTTCCTGGCATCTCCCAAACTCAGTTGCTTGGCACGTAATACATGGCTGCCCTGGTTTTTAATCCCAGCCCATTTGTTTATCTATGGTGGTACCAGAGCCAATAAGCCTTTGATGTTTTAACCCTAGATACATGTAATTCAATAAGAATAGTACATCTAGGCACTGAAGTCATAGTTTTTATTTCAGATGGGAGGGCTGTGCCAAAAGATGGCAAAAATCTTAGATTTGTTTCTCTGAAAAGACAAACATGAAGAAGCTTACAGAACTAGATGAAATGATAGCAGGCCAACTTTGAAG